AAAAAAAAGTCATCTCTACACAAACCTACTTAATCTTCAGATGAATCTGAACAACTCAGATTGATCTCTGTATCCCTGTGTAAGAAAGGTATATCCTTCCAACCTTAGCTTTTGAGCAGCTTAAGATAAAAATTAAATGACCTTTAAGAAAGATTATGAACATTCATTTGTGTATCCACAAAGGATATCAGAAGCCAGGTTTAAAAAATATTCCTTGTACTACTTACTAAAATAGTAGAGAATAAGGAGAACAGTTAATTTATGGGACAGTGACACAAAAGAATTTGGGAAATTCAACAAATATACTGGAATTATTTATGGTACAAATATGGAAATGTGGTATATTGGAACTCTGGTAAGTGTGGTATAGTAGTATTAATGGACAACTGGCAATCATACATTTATATATATATATATATATATAAAAATTTGGGAGGCATTTCAGATAAATCAAAGATGCAAAAGTTAAAAATATTAAACAAGACTGTTTACAACAATCTCAAAGCAAGAAAAGCTTAAATATGACAAAACAAAAATAGAAAAAAATCCAGAAGCTGTAAAGTTTTTAAAAATTTCTATATCCAACCCCACTAAAAAAAAGTTCAAACAAGTTAAGAGATAAAAAACAGAGAAGAAAACAGTATTTCTTTCACATTAAGCAAATTATGAGCTGATTTCTTTAATATGCAAAAGGTTCTTCACAAAAGAAAAATCCCAACAACCCAACAGGCAAAAAAGAAGGCAGGTCATTAAAGAGAAAAATATAAATATAAGAGGAACAGTGAAGAGCAACCTCCAGGCCAGTGGGTAGCACTCACAGTGAATTCAGTGGTAGGAGGCGGAGCTTTCTGAACTCCACCCCCTGGTGTCCCAAGCAGAGGTTGATGGGAAATAGGGGTTGGGCTGGCACTTGAACTGCTTACAAGGGGTGTCTGTGGAGAAACCTTCTGGCTGGCTCAAGGCATCTGGTCTCTGCTCAGCAGATGCTATTTGGGGCAGGATAGGCAGATCTGGACACATGTAGCCAGTAACTTTTCTTTGTCCTTTGTTCTGTTTCCATTTTCTTTTCCTTACTCCTGTGTAAATAAACCCCTTTTGTTTCTCTCCATGTGTCTGCTTTTCAGTCCTCTCCTTATTCTTAAGCACATAGTTCTCCAATTGGGTCATGTCTGTTCTCCTGGGTTTGCCCATTTCAGGCAGATCCTCACCTATGCTTAAGAATAACGTTTTAGTACATGAAAAAATATTTAAAGAGAAATGTTAAGATTCGAATGACACTGTGGTAGAGTTTTTACCAATCACCTTGGCCTCCCTAACTCTAGAACTAGTTCTTCAGAGCTAACTGGAATGTAAACTCTCTGGAGGATAACGGAACAATAACCATTAACATTACAAATTCACACACTTTGCTTCAGCAGTTGTGTTCTAGGAATGTATCCAATAAGTGTATTTGTTGGTATGCAAACAACACAATGTTAACTGACTCAAAAGACTGGAAACACAAACACAAACTAGAGGCTAGTTAAATTATTGTACAGCCACATAGTGGAATACTATCAAGCTTTTTAAAAGAGCAAGGCAATTCTTAGAAGTACTGTGAAAGAGTGCTATCCAATACATTGGACAGATAAAGGCCAGGGGCAGGATATATAGTTTTCCATTTTCTATTGCTGCACAGCAAACCAAGTCTAATAACTTATAATGACAGTTCAGCTTTTTCAGTTTGGACAGTTTGGTAAAGAAAGTTTGTCTCTGTTCCAAATAGCATCATCTGGGACGGCCTGAATGGGATCAGAAGTTCCACTTTGAAGGGAATGGTTTATTAATCACATGGCTAACAAGTGTGATGATGGCTGCTGTGTACAGGCTGCTGGTGGGGTTCTCAGCTCTGGTCCAGGCAGCCTCTCCACATGGTTAGGTTGGTTGCTTCTGAGGCCTGAAAGGGAGTATCATAATGGTACTCCCAGAGGACAAGTTCCAACGTACATCACTTATTAAGCCTCCACTGATAATCATACTTGCTAAGTCACCATTGGCCAAAGCCAATTACAGGACACAGCTTAGTCAATATGGGATAGAATTACATAAGGACTTGAATATAAGGAGGTGTAGTTCCTTGGGAGGACCACCAAAACAAATCTCATCACATAAGACTGGCAGGGTTTGTGTAAGAGTAAGAACATTTGAGATGTTTATATATACATGGCTTGTCTCTGAGGAGATACATAAGAAATCAAGGCAGAATTTGAGAAGGACTGAGGAGCAGAGGATTGTGGCTGGGGTACAGAAGATTTATTTTTCCACTATATAACTTAATACAAAATGAATATGAATTACCAAGTTCTAAAAAATAATTATAAAATTTAAAAATAAAACAGCATAATCATAAGAGAGATTCAGAACACTGGCTTGATTTCAACTGGTATTAATTAAATGTTTAATTTAAAAGAATGAAGCGATGTAACATTTGAGGACATTCACTCATACTATCTTAATAAAGAGAATCTGTCTCCTTATGAGATATAACCCTCAGTTCAGCTCTGCTGAAATAACAAATCCCTGGTGATTTACTGCCCAATTTATTTTTCTTGGTTCTAACTCAAGCCACAACTCATCAGACCCCAAGTCACTATGCTGGCACTAAATCTTTAGAATGCTGATTCTATGCTCTTGCAAAATGGATTTGCAGAAGTCTTAGAAGGTATTTGTTTGTAGCAAACAATACTCAAGAGGCACCCCTTCCAGACAGGCGAGTTCATAAGGACAAGCAGTAATAGAAGATAAAGCAATGCAAACAACAATTTATGAAAGAGTCACATGTCAGTTGGGTTAGCAGCAACCTCCTATCAGCTGTCCCCATTTTTAAGTGCATACAATTAGGCTGTGTGTGTGTACGTGTGTTTGTGCATGCATGCTCACACTTTAATTTCATTCTTCAATAAAGAAAATCTTGGGGGTGAGGTGGGGAAGGCAGGTATCTTCCTAATGAGTTAAAACATTTTGGTTTATGGTAGACAATGAAGCATGTACCCAAGATACAAATTGTGTTTCTGGGGAATCTTGTGGAAGCCCTGTTTTACTGAATTCCTGTTAAATTACATGCTCCTTGAGAACAGACATCCAAAATTTTTTCTGCAGGCCTAGCATCAGTTTGGGGTAGATCTTTTACTGAATTTTGAATTTTTAATAAACTATTAGTATGGCAGACAGCAGGAATAAAAGGGACTAGAAACACAGAAGGTCATAAAGAGGAATTCAAAAATGAATTTCAATTCCTTGCTACCTCTCTAGGGACCCAAGTCACATGGATTTTCTGAGTACCAAAGGCTTTAGAAGAAAAGAGAGGTAAAAGGAGATAAGCTGGTGTTGAGTCACCAAGACTGGCCTGCAGAAAAGAAAATAAGCTCATCAGGCTAACATGAAGAAATTAAAGTTACAGTACCAGATTTCTGATGAAAGTTTTTAAAGTCAGACCTGCTTTGTAGAAAG